AACACGATTTCCCTTGGAAGGCAAGGAAGCAGGCTCAGAGAGGGGATGGGGCTTGCCCAAGGTCACACAACCAGTGAGAATAATAAGCCTGGGACCAGAACCCAGACTGCACCCAGAGCTGCTGGCCTTTCTCTCTGCTGTCTGCCATAACAACGTGCACAGTGATCATACGCGGGTTATCGGTGCTCCCACAGTGCCAGATGGTGTAGACCCAGGGCTAACCATGAGCTCAGCAGCTTTCTCTGGGGGCCGGCCATTCAGGGCCCCTTCGCTGCCAAGCAGAGTCTTGTCTGCTAAGAGCTGGGGCTGCTTTTCAAGCCTTGGTGCTGCTGCTGCCTGCGGGGCTGGGACCCCTTGTGGCCAGCGGCAGTAACAACAGCACTCCTGAGCCACAGTCAGGATCCAGGGACAGTTGTCAGGAAAACCTAAAAAGGGAGTTGCCTGTGACTTTAAACTGAGACTTGTAGTGGAATCGCATAAAATGGTCCTGAGGCTGGGTGTGGTGGCTCACGCCTGTAATCCCAGAACTTTAGGAGGCTGAGGCGGGTGGATCACTTGAGGTCAAAAGTTCAGGACCATCCTGGTCAACACAGTGAAACCCTGCCTCTACTAAAAATACAAAAAATTAGCTGGACATGGTGGCAGACACCTCTAATCCCTGCTACTAGGGAGGCTGAGGCAGGAGAATTGCTTGAACCCAGGAGGCAGAGGTTGCAGTGAGCCGAGATCACGCCATTGCACTCCAGTCTGGGTGACAAGAGCAAAACTCGTTAAAAAAAAAAAAAAAAAAAAAAGTCCTGAGCACAGCCAAATCAAACTGGCAACACATTTACCCATCTCTGAAGCCGGACGGGCCGCTGCCAAGCTGGGACCCTCCCCTTTTCCTCCTTAGACAGTTGCCATGCCCAGATGTACACTTAGATTTTAAAGATTTGCTCCCTGCATGGCTGCAGACCTGGAGATAAGCTACGTGGCAGGCTCTAAGTAATGCATGGTGTTAGCTAAGGGGGGTTGGCAAGAATCACCTTAGACTGGGGTGTTCAATCCTTTGGCTTCCATTCGCCATGCTGGAAGAATTGTCTTGAGCCACACGTAAAATACGCTAACAATAGCTGATGAGCTAAAAAA